ACGTCCTTACGTCTATATACAACCTGACTGATTTGTGGTATTTTACACATTTTCATGGCTTTCTAAGGATTTCGAAATACATTGAAAAATGTAGAAAAGCAGTTGAAATATTTCGAAACACAAAAATTCGGAAATACATATATGTTTTGTTTTATTTTGGTTCTCACCTGCATATATGTGATGCTGTTACACATTAAAGCGCTATGCAAATCACACTGTATGTAATCCACTGTATCTTGACTGAAATATTTTTTTCTATATATTCAAGCAATATGTTACCGAAAGTGAATTATCATTTAGGAAGTCTCTTAAGGGTATAACGAACTCGAAGCTATCCAGATGTCTTTGCAATGACAATGAAGACTTTCAAGAACTTTCACCAGTATTCGAAAAACATTTCAGAATTGCGTAAAATTTTTGTATCATTTTTCAAGACTTTTTATGATTTCTTTATATATCGTGATATTTCTACCTTTCGCTAACAGTAAGTATCAAAAACAGCTAGGTTAATCAGATTACATAACGCGGACTATTCAGAAATAGATGTCATTGGTCCTATAAATTGAACAGCACACATCAACATAGCTAGTTTATTCTAGTTGTAACACTTTTAGTAGTAATATGGATCGAAAATCAATTAATATCACAATAAAAGTTCAACTAGCAGTAGTTATGTGTCCAGTTCATCATCATTATGGTTTAAATCATTGGCAATACAGCAGCAAATACTTTGTCCGCTTACCAGATGAGTTACATGTGAGAATTTTGAGCATCTTTCAAATCAATTTCAAAGAAATATCTTGCGAAATATCTCAAGAAAGATTAACAAAAATTTGAAGTCATTTGAATTGACCTGAGAAAATCTTTATTCCACTCACCCCATTCAGAATAGACTCAGTCATAGGGAAACAAATATGACAAAAGACTCCACAATTAAAATGTCCTATTTGCGTCTCACTCAGAGCTTATAAAATCATTCCATAACAGATATGCAAAATAAACGAAAATCCACTTTCTTGCGCAGCATTTTAAATTGCTGTCGTACTATTTAGTATTCGTTGACTGCGGACTACTACACTCATATATATGATTCGCTAATTAGGAAATTGAACTCTTGTTTGAAAAAATTAAAATAGTTCTATTAGACGTACTGCTGTAGACAAACATCTTTCCCAATTCATAACTAAAAGTAAAGCAAAAACTCTTAACCCACTTCGCAATTCAGAACATAGATGGTAATGAGGGTTCAACTTGCGCGTTTATCTACGCCCTTTCACAAACAAACAAGGATCATATATTTATTGCTACCCTAGTCAAACTTTTTTATTCATGCGCTTGCCAAGACTTGAGCTCAAGATGTGTCCATAGTTCTTGACTTCTTGATCAAGAAAGTCAATAATTGCATGCGCTTGCAAAAAAAAGTTCGACTAGGGTAAACACTAATATATCCTCTTCCTGACTGACTCTAAATCGAAAAATACATTTGATCGCATACATAGACACCGAAAGACTGAAGTATATGTGATCTCCTTTTAAGAAACATCGGTGATAGATCTTCGATCGAATAATCGATGTGTATTTCAATTAATTACATGCTCACGTAGCAGTTCACCACATGAGCACACTGACGGAAAAAACATTTTAAAACAGTCTCCTCAATCCTATACTAACACCTGCTAAAAACAAAGTTCGTAAAATTCATCGTATTTTTTGTTTCTTCTCCTCTTATACCTTTTACTTGAGGCAATTGAAATTCTTTCTCGATGGGTTTTAGGCGAAAGATCTTGGGCAATGCACACTAAACTATAAAGTATTGTATCTTTTTGTCGCAGATTATAATGTTAGCGATTCGATTATTAAAAAGAGTCACAATTAGAAATGGTCCGGTTCTGTGTGCATGCTATTCAATCACTGATTTGTTCAGCCGAAATATCTCTATATAAGCAACTTTACTTACGATAGAAAACTTGTATATTTTCATACTGATTTTCATCAATATTATTCCCGCTTATCTCTTCAACAATTTGCACTGCCCATTCATGATCTTCGGCGTTCTTTCTGGCTAATTAAACATTAATTGGGGTATTTTAAGGTCTTTCTCATTAAGAGAAAAAAAGGATCTCACACGGTAACAACTAAGCAAATTCTTGTCGAACATAACTGTTTCAAGCTTAAGTGTTGTAAATTCGATAGTGACAATTTAATGCAGATAAATTCAACTGATTTGTTCTGCTGATTATCAATTCACCATTGTATTTTACACTAACAGCTGCATATATGACACTCCATAAAACACCCGAAATTCACACATTTTTCATCCTAATCTTTATTCACCATTATTTATTCACCAGCAAACATTAGTCCCAATATATCTACTTCAATATTATATAGATCAAATGCACTTCTATCATGAATAACGAAGCATAATTATTAACATTTCAAAGGTAAAGTCATTCAAAGCTCCTTCTCGCATAATAACTCTCGATAAAGATACTAAACGATCTCATTCACACTGTTTGAAATTAAAACATCTGAAATATAACTTCTGAGTCAATATCTTCCATTGAAGATAGTTCAGACTCCGATTCATTGCATTTCATATAAAAGGATCCTTAAAGATCCTTCTTATTCAATAATACTTATTTCAGGTATTTTGAGGTCTCATTCCTCGTCATTCACCAAGAAAGCCCTTTGACGATTCTTCTATTTGCAAAAAAAAATCAATAAGACTACAAAAACATCACATACGAGGGATTGACTGAAAAGGATCTTTAAGGATCCTTTTCGATAAAAGTGAATGAATGCTACTTTCACATAGCTCAATTGGAAGGTAATGGATTAAAAAGACCTTTGAGCGTCTTTCCCCATTGATTTCGAGGAAGAAGTTTTCGAAATACTTAAAGTCTTCAGTGGTGAGCTCTGGATCGCTTCGGGGGTGGTATGATTGAGTGGATGATCGTGAAGCGGTACGGGAGGGTTTTGGCATTGGTGAAGGTGGCTGGTAATTTTGTTTCTTGGTGGTGCGACCAAGGATGAGCAGGTGTGGTAGTGTCTGGAAATATGCGAGAGATCTCAAAAAGATTGGAACTTCCGGAATTTTCCCGGGTGGAATCGGTCGGATTTCGTTAGTTCCGTGGCGTGTTCCGATAGTATTCCGTGTGATCACGGGTCGGTTCCGGTAATTTTTCCTAATGGTTACGGTGGCGGGAATAGTACGGAATCCCCCCGGTTACAATACGGTGATTACCAAACGGAATACTGCTTCCAACTTCCGGATAGTTTTCCGGTCAGTTTCCGGTTGGAATGTTGTTGGAAATCACCGGAAGTAGCGGGAAATAACGCCGTTCCCGGTCGGTTCCGTAGCCCGGAATCATTAACCTGGGTAAAGCATTGTTAGGTTCCATGCACTTCGTGCAAAACCATAAGCGGTTTTTATTTGTGTACATAGGTTTTTATGATTTTTCATAAATAACAAATGCTTCAAGGTTACCTGCAGTAAATGACTCAATAAAGAATATTCACTTTTAGAGAAGATTAAAAAATCAGTAAAACCAATTTCCAAGAACAAATCTAGCGATTCAGTCAAGATAATGAATAGATCTTTTCTGGTCAAGACATCGAGAGTAAAAATCTCGTATCCGTTTTCCATACTGATGTAAAATGTAAAATAAAAAGATTGCACTTTTCATAGGCAATTCACTGGACCCTCAAAAATTCATGCGACACTGTAAGTTTTATTTAAATTCTATTTTGTAGAAAGGGGACCTTAAATAAACTAAAACATTTTACAAAATTTTATGATTCATTCGTTAAATTTTGAATATTCAGAAAATGTTTAATGGTCCAGTAAATAGCGTTGCAATCTGATTTTCTGGGAAAATTGTTTTTCAAGATACTGAAAAATCAAGTCGAATTTTCTAAAAAGTCAATTTATATTCTACAAGAACTCAGAAATCAGTTACTGATTTTTGAATAATTGTTTGAGCAATCGCAGCTATAAAGTCCCTGTTTGGCCATGTATATAAACCAGTCGATAGTATTGTGTATTCATTATTTCGTCCAACAGCTGTAGCCAGTTGATAAATTTTTTTTTCAGATACCACATGAGTTGCTCCATTTTGTATGAACAAGCACTTATGGCAATTTATTTCTTATGATTCATAAGAATCTTAGAAAGAGAATTTTCTGAGTATAGAATCGATATTTTTAACCTTTCATGTTTTTCAACCTGCATTTTAACTTTTACATAGTATTTTTATGCTTAAACGTGAGAATCGTGTTTTGCGTCCTTTTTTCTGATCACAATGTTTTTAAATAGTTACATTTTTTCTCTTTATTGATTTCTGAAGGAATATTTTCTAGTTAATAAGTTTTATCTTATATTCAGATCCTCATATTTTTCTTATTTATGATGTTTTATGGAACATATTACTCGATATTTATTTGTTGTGTTCAACCATCATCATGGAATGAAAATAAAAATTGAATTTCAAACTTCTACAAAATACTCTAATTGCTAAATAAAATGCGAATTTCTAGAAAAGTACATACGAATTCACTTTCGATTTTCTATCTTCGAAAATGTTATACTTTGCAGAAAGTAGAGATTTATCGACGAATTCTTATGGATTTCCCAAGAATATTTTTTATTATACTCAATAAATTATTTTCTACTTTACAGTATAGATGATCGACCAAATATCAAATTACTCTAGTGTCGCTAATTGGATAAAATCCAAAAAGACAATATTCTAAAATTCGTTTGTTGAAAGTAAATCAAATTCACTATCATAACTATCAACTAGAATCGTTCTTATCAATTTGAAGAACATGAATGAATTTTTTTCTATACCTTACTTAACTTGGAACTATTCATCACAAGTCACATCTATGATTACTACAATCAAATTAAACAACGTGAACGAATCTATTTTTTTCTATCTTCATTCAAGTGCAGTCTCAAATTTTCAGGTATAATTATTCTCATAATATTCAAAAACAACGAATGAGCTAATTATTTCTTTTTGTCGTAGATCACGTTCATCATCATCATCATCATCATGTTCTACTACTATTACTGGAATAATATTCAAAACGAATGGTGTGTGCTTTTGTCTTAGAACAAGCTGATCACAAGGATTTTCGGGGGTTATTTGCCATAAAATTCACAGAGATTGAAAATATTTCGTTTTCTATCTTAGATGAAGTATATCATAGTAGGTCCCTGGTACGATTGTTGTAATAATATTGAAGAACATGAATGTATTTGCTTTCTCAATTTCAGATCAAGTTCATTATCATAATTGCCAGGTGTGAACTTGTAAGAAAACTCAAAATGATGATTAAGTTTCGTTTTCCTATTAGTCAAGTTCATCAACATCATTTTCAAGTACTATTATTGCAATCGAATCAAATAAGGATAATAAAATTTCTTTTTCTATCCTAGATTGAATTCACCATCAGAAATCACAGGTTCAGTTATCAGGAAGACATACAACACTTAGAATGATTTTACTTTCTTTATCTGATGCCAAGTTCATCATCATAGATCACAGTTCCAATTTATCAGCATGAAAATGAATATAACGGTAATGCGTTGTCTTTTTGAAACTTTCATGTAATTGCATCATCTTATTCTCACTTGTGGGGTATTAGAATGAAATTTGCCATGGCTTAACTTCTCGTTCTCTTTCTAGAGGAGTGTCATCGACGGAAATCACAGGTACTATATGACCATTTTAATGAAATTGAAGAACACTACTAAATTTCTTTTTCTATCCTAGATTGAATTGATCATCATAATTGTCAGGTATGATCATTGTAATAGATTAACCAGCGTAGATTAATCTTTTTTTTTATCTCAAGTCAAACTCATTATCATAGCTCTCTGATACTATTTTCTTCAGTAATATTTAAGAACTGTAAATGAATTAAATGAATTGCTTTTTCTATCTTAGATTGAAGTTATCATCATAAGTCGCAGGTATCATTAATTTTATAATATCAAACAGTATGCATAAATCTAGTTTCTCTATCTTTACTCTAGTTCATCACGATAATTTTCAGGTATGATTATAACAATTAAAGCAAGAATATGCACTAATTTCTTTTTTTTTCTATCATAGGTGATATTCATGATTATGCTATTACTCTAAGATATTGTTGATAAAATCGACGATTATGGGCTTATCGATTATCTTTATCTTCCGTGAATAAATCTGTGAAGTATCTACGACAGTATGGCTTTTGTTAAACGGCATGATAGAAACTCAGTGGTTCCTTTATGAGGGTTATTGTACGGAAACAGAGAAATCGTAAATAAGTCGCGTTGTGGTAAATCTCTGTATATTAAATCAGTTCAATCATACTTGGCGTTTCGCTGGGAAATTTCAAACAATAAGTAAGCTGAATAATTTCACTCACAATCAATTCGTTTATTTCTCTGTTTTAGACTGAATAAATGCTGAAAGTGAAACATGCATTGTGCGTTTGGAAAGTACAACTAGTTGGTAGTTGGAAAAACAACGAATCGATAATTATTGTGCAGTGAATTTAGTGAGTGGTTATTGTTTTCATACTATTGAGGCCAAATTTGAGACACGTGGGAGGTCGTTTCAGTGCACTATGGAAAGACTTCGTATTCAACTGTATCTTTGGAACTATTTTCTGTGTTGATGAGATAGTGCCCAAGTAGACAAAAATTTGGAATAACTCATTTAAACACTCAGCCGGTAGCCGTGACTACGAGTCATTAAAGCTCATTATTGTGTCCTTTTTTGAAACATTTTCATTTTAGAGTTTGAAAGTCGTCAAAAATTTCAGTTTTCAGCCGTTTTCACATTATGAAATGAAAATTTTGCACAATGGGCACAACGCATGCGTCATTATAATGAACGTTAATGGCTCACAGTCGTGGTTCCCGACTGAATGTTTAAATACATTATTCCGAATTTCCCTCTGCTTGGGTGTAATCGAAAACTTTTGGTACGCAACTGTTTTTATCCTTTTGCAAAATGGTTCAGTACCGAACTTGGGTTTTTGCCAAACCTGAAAAGGATCATTCCGTGCGCCCTGCGGAAGATCCTTTTTAGGTTTGGTGGAATATCTAGTTTTTTTAGAGTGCATCTCCAGCTAAAATCACCAAAAAATTGGCTGACTGTCAATTTTTGGAGACCCATATTTCCCCTCTTAGTGATGCCTTAATACTTGAATGGCCGCATATCTGTTGGATTTTTCTTTTTTTTAAATTTATCCCATAGATAAGTTGTCTTCTTCACCAGTTACAGAAATATATTAATGACATTTTCACATACAATTTTCATTTCTTTGTTTCTGTATTTTAAACAGATGGGTAATTCAACCCCTCCTACATCCTATTTGGTAAACCAAGCGAACCAATTTTTAGCACAAAAGGAAGATTATGAATGGTTCGTGTCAAACAAAGGCGGAGCACATGGAGAAGATATTTATGATCGTCGACTTGTAGTGACAACTTTTCCACTTGACTTAGCCAAGGCAGAATTCGAAGATTATGTTAATAAAAAATTTAGTGACTATCCAGAAAATCTTAGAAACAAAATCGCAGCATTATTCAAGGTCATTAAGGACTGTGACATGGAAAAAAATATTTCATTTGGTTATGAATCTGGTAAAATATCAGCTGTTTTAACACAAATTTTATTTGAAAAGCAATCTGTAAGCAAAGAAATCAAAGTGTGTTTCGGGTATACTAGATGTATACGAATGATAAAAACCGATTCCAAGCTTGATTTTGGCTATTGGAACAGTAATGAAGAAAGAGTAACAAAAGCTTTACAATTTTTATTTGGCACAGAACTCAAAAAAGAATTGGCCTTGTTGGGATAATCAATTCTATACTTTGATTTTAGACTGAAAAAGTCAGAGATGGTCACTATCGCTTCTGTTTCTAAAGTGGCCATCTCTTAAAAAAGCAGTATTTTATTTTCTCATCATAAACTTATGTTCTACTGTTTGAAATCATTTGTAACTTTCATCATTTTACCTAATAAAACTTTAAAATAAAAGCTTGTCAGCGTAGTCCCAGAGGGCTAAACATGTAGAACTCACACATAATCTTCAGTTTCATCATAAAGGGTGTTAGTAGCGTAACCAACAATAGGAGACAAATAAACCATTGTCCAATTCATTTCGAGATTTGTCTATTGTAATTTTAATTAGTATGTTTTACCCATTGAAAGTTCATTTTTGAATAAGATAGTAAATGTAGATTTCTCTTCCAACTGAATTACATATTTACTCTTTGCTTGCTCTTTCTGTGAAGAATTAAGAAAATAAGAAGAGAATCGCTCTTCTTCTTCTGCTTCTCTTCTTAATTCTTGAGGGTGAGTGTGGATGCGAGTGCAGCATATATTATAGAAACACCCACGCCTACGCTCAGTTTTGAGTACGGGTGTGTACTGCGTGATCGATATTTGATCACGATCACGCAGCATAATAATATTCACCCAATACATGATTTCGAATGGTCCTCGTCTACCATTCGAAAGAAAGCGTTCGAATAATAGCTAATCAAATCTTCTGACTTTTCATACCAAATGTGATAATGATGGTAGCAGTGATTAGCGCGACCAAGATTCTCCAACTTTCCTTCACAATTGATACAAGCCTTGCGATAAGTTTTAGCAAAAAAAGAATGAGAATTACACTTACACACAGCGAAAGCTGATTATTTTATGAATATTTTATTTCACTTGTATGATTAAAGATATAGAAAATTAGAAACAAATAAAAAGAAGATAACTGATTATCACCATGAGAAAGTTAGAATTATAGAATATAAGGTTAAAATAGAATGTTAAGAGAGTATCGCTAATGAAAAGGTTTTTCAAAGTTCAATTCAAAGAAAGATATATTTTGTTACGCTTTCATCTAACTAATTACTACCACAAAATGTTAATTGAGCAGAGTAACGCTGTTGTATATTAGTGCAACCACCACCACCAGCCCATGCTGGTCCTGCGCTAAAAGGTCCAGCTGCATTACAATTACTGGTAAGCCCATAACATTCATAGGTATCTGCCGCCCAAACACAGCAATTATTTGATATTGTACTTCGATATGTTTTATTAGCAAATCGGGTCGCTATGCATCCCAAAACAGCATTTGTTGCTCGACTGTAACCAATTGTGCAATTACCACCTGATCCGTCTAGATAATAGCAGCGATTATTCCACGATACTTCATAACTCTGACAACTGGCCACAATAGATGTTGTTGTAGTACAAGCTAAGTCAACAAAATACATATGGAACCATTCTATGAATTGGAAAAAACATCAGCTATGCTTACATGTCACTGTTGTGTTGTTACAGAGAGCTGTTGATGGTGTCAAGTATGAAGAATTTGTTGTCGTAACTGAAAAAGGGATATACTTTCCAATTCATTACAATATTTGTATCTACTACAGTCATGTTGAACAAATTACAATAAACTCAACCTAGTACGTCCCGCTTGATCGATGTGAGTGTGGCTCGTGTCCTCATTGGTGGATCCACTCTCCTCCATACTTGCTACAGTTACGCTGTGGAAAAAGGCGATCATTTTATTAAATAAAATGAAAAGTAACCTTCAGTTTTTACGTGTTGTATAACGAAATGTCTAATAAATGAGTATAAGTATTTCATATGTGACAGATGGATTCTTGGGTGAAATTTTAGAAGTCTTACCATGGGAACCCACGCACACCAAGATATGTTGTGGATATATTATTCGGAAATTTGAGCTCACAGTTAAACTTCTTGATTTATAAAGAGATATTATGAAACCTACCAACTATTCAGTTATGCGCAGAAGACGAATCGTGTGCAAAAATGAGTGTCGAGTTTCGAGACTCGAAGAACATCAAAAGAATAGCGCACTATAGACCTTCGAGTCCACAGAGCGCGACAGACATTTCGACGTGCTACCTTAGATTTGTGAAGCAATTTTTTTAGATTTCGAGTCCACAGTAAATTCCTATTTTAAAGGACTCTAATTAGCATAATTCCTATACGATCGAAATACGAATCTTACACATTTACTCATTTTTTTGTGTTATATTTCAGCCTAGTACCGAAAAAAGCACTTATCTCAGTTGAGAGATGCGCGTGAGGCGAGTAAAGGTGCAGAAAGTTACTCTTCCAAAACGACAATCTGCATATATTTATCAATAAACGTTCAACATTAGACCCTAGGCGATGACATTTCCTTGCAGTTTTGACAAATTATGACATATACCATTCACGTCTGCATGCTCAATGGAAATGATTTGATCGTTTTTCAAAAAATAGAATTATCTGCCAAGCCTCTAATAACTTACTGGTAGATATAGTAGTCGTCGTTGTTGTTCTAGATGCTGTCGATGTTATTGTAGCTGTTGTTCTAGATGCTGTCGATGTTATTGTAGTTGTTGTTCTAGATGCTGTCGATGTTATTGTAGTTGTTGTTGATGTTGAGGTTGACGTGGATGTTGAGGTTGAGGTTGAGGTTGAGGCTGATGCTGATGGTAACAAAAGCATTGTTGTTATGTATTCTTTTCTCTCATATTATTAAACTCAGTTATCAGCGAGACAGCAACGTGATGGTATGACAACAGAACGGAACAAAAGGATTATCGCCCTTCGATCGAATCGAATCAACGCCTTCTGCTTTCCGGGCAGCGGTAGGCTCCATCTCATAACTATGATAGAGGGATAAAGAGGGTCGTGTTACGTCAGGAGATGTCTCTACCTAGGTCAAAAAGAGCTGACTCAGATCTTATTGTCTGATTGTTTGACCTTGGTACTGACATAACAGTTGTTATCAAAACTGTTGCAGTTTTACGAAAGAAAAAGTTCAATACAATGATATCATTGTTCACTCAGTGAAATATCCTGTTATCGATATCTCTGAATATTAGATACGTTGCAGTAACTATCTTCATTTCAGTCGAACCGTTATCTAAGAGGCACACGTTTTTAGAACTTTTCCCTGCGTTATTCGATGGAAAATAGCTATTGGATGGTAGGCATCTTTAGAGCCAGTGAGTAGATTGTGTTTTAGAAATCTTAAATAATAGTTCATGCAGACCGATCTCTTTTTTTTATCCAACCCGTTGAACGTAAATATATGTCAATGCGCGGTGCATTTAGGCGCTTCATTGATACATAACAAGCCATGTCCAATCATAGTGGGTAACTACACTGGTGGCTTGTTAAATTTTGAAATGAAAGACTTAATTCATGCATATGTAAAAAAAGAATAACTCAGCATCTTTTTGTCCTTCAGACTACGATTCTGCCCACATCCAGGTTCAAAGCCTAATAATTTGGTAAATTCCTAGATTCACTGCTACCATGAATTCTGAAAAATCCTTTCGCTGTGAACAACGTTCTATCGTGATATCATATAGATGAGCGCGCTATGTTGGTCAGTGTCTGATGGTAAACACGTGGAAGAACGATTCAAATTTTTGATAAGTAATCTGTAGCTGTTAAATATATTGATATCGATTTTCTCATGACGGCTTTCATCTAGTGGCACTCAAGTCTACGTCACATGGGAGCTACTTCTGAACTGGATATAACTAAACATAATGCCCAGGAGGCATTGTACTCAAAAGTGCACTGCAATTCTTTAAAATGACGAATGCTCTTACGTTTTGAGCATCGATAATTTTTTTGAAATATCAATATATTGTTTTCAATCCTTGTGGATTCTTCTTTCTAAATAGGTTTTCTGATTCAGATTGGATGAAGATACTCACAAATGTATTCTTTCATTCTGACCACAAAAGAAACTTATAGTTGTTGGACTCCTATGAATAGCGGGAAGCAATATATCAAGACTATGGTGACTGTTTTCTCATAATCTATTTGGAGTTTTTGACGTCGATGCAATCATGATCAACATCGTAGTTTTAACAGGCTTACTTGTACTACTGTTTGAGTTTGTTGAAGTCAATGGTGGGCAACGTTGAACGGAAGCATAAGCGATTGGATAACAAACAGGAACTCCGCACCGAGTATTATTGACACATACAGTGTTAGGTGTTGAACATGTTATATTATCATTTTGACAGGGAACCAAATTATTGCATGACAAAATCGTATCTGCACACATTCCTCCTCCGGTCATCGCCATCATTAAACATCCGCAATCGATATTTGTTGAACACGGTATTGATTGCCTCGGACAATATGATGATGGGCAACATCCGCATGTTGAAGGTTGTGTACTGACCGCGTATTGACCTAAAACAAAGGTTATTGGAAAAGGCATTGATAATGCTATCAAACATTTTCAGAGAAGAAACGTTAGAAAACCAACAAGCGAGTAAATAAGATGACATGTATCAACTAACATGGAGTACTTGGTCTATGAGACTACATAAAATGAGTTTACAATACCTTTAACAATGCAGACTAAATATCTAACAATGAAAAAAAATCACATCATTCGTGTTTCATCACAACAGTACTCACAATGTTGCCAATGCTTGAATCAAAAATCGTCGTATCGTCATGATCATCGAATTATTATTTCATCAAAACAGTTACTGGATTTTATAGGCAAGCATATACTATGAAATTACGCATTCATGCAAAGAAAAAGTGCGTTAATGTTTCCTTCGATTGTTCTTATTCATATCGATTAGTGCATTCAAACAAGAAATGTTTGAATGCGATACGAAATATTGATAAAAGCAAACTAACACTTCAATTTTTCAACAAGACTTACTGAAGTATTTTTTTTGTTTTTCGAAACACTAGTAAATAGAAGCATTAGATTGGAAATAATTGAGAGTGCAAATAGAAAGCAAAGTCTTCTGAAGAACTTATGACTGGATGGTAAACAGAAGTGACTCAAAAACTTATATTTTATTTTTCTTAAGAAAAGAATAGCATTGGCGTCATTAGTTTTGGCCACATGATTTCTGTTATTTTCTCAATATCTAGGTGATTGTATCATGATGCATAGTACTTGCTCTCTGGAAGTCATAGTGCTAGTTGAATGTGTCAATGTGGATCAAAGAAAAATATCCATATGCACACACACACTATCGTTATAGCTCTTATTAAGTCATTGTGCGCATTAAAAACGTCTCATATTGATACATTGTCGACTCCGTGTTTTATGTATTTGTTTTATTTATCAACCGAATTGTCACATGCCGTTTGTCTTACTGTATCACATGATCTACGCAAAAGTTGCTAGTCAGTATTAGTGTCACATTTCGAATAGTGATTAGTACACATAAGGTTCTGCGGAAAGTTTTCTTTATTATATCTATCTGTCGTTATCTGTAGCTGAACTTATTGTACGAATATTTTCGCTACTACCAGTTCTGAAGATTACCATCATATTCAACGTCTGTAGAAATATCGAACGGAATTATTCATTGTTTGCTTCTAAACCGTTAAATCAACCCTTTCTCGTCATATATGTGAGAAAATGATCAGTGAAATGCAGTGTAATTCTTCCAACATTACTTCAGTTCTCGTGAGTAATCGAATTAACGCACGTCACAATCCATATTAGTCCTTGAGAGCATGGGTGTCAGCTGGGAGAAAATTAGACCCACACCACGTACTGTTAGCACTAGTATTTAAATGAATGCATATATTTGGATTGCTTGATTTTAGTTATGGAATTAAAAAAAGACTGTTAGATTGAAATATTATTGATATTCAACAGATTTTATAGAAGCGATATTATAGTCCGATGTGGTTGCTGTGTATTGTTGATAATGAAGTCGTCTGTTTCGCTAATGCTCTTGTTGCTTAGTTCAAAATCACTTAAATATTCATGATCAAAATTGATATGTGAGTTTTAATGATTTTGTCAAATAAATTAATAGTATCTAGCTAAATAATTATTCATTTACTTTTTTCTAGAAGAAAAAATATGTGAACAGGATTAAATTGTGAGTGAAAATGCAGTTTTTCTTTAAATTCACATACATCGGTCATAAACTACTACACATTCACATCCTGCGCTTTTTAGTGCGATGTATTCTAAATTCTTTGAAATCAGTAACAATAAAAAAAAGTCAGTCACTTCGTTCATTACTCTATTAATCATGTCTGGATTATATTCAAAACATGCTGTGAGTTCTGTTGACTACAACATGAGAATATCCGTAGTTCTTCTTTGCTCAACGTGCTGCTAGACCTTAATGATATTTCAGTAGTAAAAATCGTATGGTCGTGTCATTTTATGATCACTATCAAAAAAACAATGTTTCTCTCAATTAGTGCTCTTGTAGCAATATCTTTCATACAAATTGGTAATTCACAGTATCATCTTTGTTACACGAATAGAATGAGTACTTATGAAAAGAATTTTTATTACGATTGCCTTTACTATCGTGATTTGGGTGTTCTTCTTCCATCGAGTAGACAATCACAATATGCTTTTGAGATGATTCTCTATTGTATTCGACCATCGCAACTTGAATTGACTGATGCCAAATTTGATAGAGTGGTAGAAGGAAATCTAATTAGTTTCGAAGAACTGCATACAAATAAGATCACAAGCGAGCAATTATTTGCTTGGCCTGCATCGATAGACATTGTTGAACAGTATGAAGCAGGTAAAGACTTCAACTTTACAAAATTTTACAATTGTACTTGGTCGGTGTTTGAAGATTATTGTCAATATTCATTAGATCCATCCAAGCCGTCGTTCAGTCATTTTGTACAACACATATACTCAATTGAAAACTACTGAAAAGTTAGAACGATTTGGCAATATAAGTTATTCATGTTACACACATCTTGAATGTGATCGTGGGCCTGTACCGATGTGCCTTGATTGGCGAGAAGTATGTGACAATCATATTGATTGCTGGGATGGTGGTCGAGATGAGGAAAATTGCTTTCTACTCGAACTGAACGAATGTGCCGAGGATGAATTCCATTGCAAAGGTGGCATGTGTATTCCAGAATCGTTGTTACATGACGACGCATTTCATCCAGATTGTCTAGAGGGAACCGATGAAAATAGTGCCTTGTGGAACCCAGGCGAATGCTATCAAGATCCATCATTCCGTATGAATTCGGTTTTTCTTGTGGTGATGATGCCACTGTATCAAAATACTCCATACCATCGTCGTTAGATGAAATTTGCAATAACCGACGCGACACGAAATTCTCACAATTCGTTTGGTCTTATACAAATCACAACATATCGCTGTCTGTCGTTTGTTGGTCCGCTATGATCTGTTTATACAATTTGAATGGTATTGATGGTGTCGATTGTGATGACTATTGTGATTTTGACATTTGCCTTGATATTGCTAGAGATGAATGCCCAGCACTATTCTTCTTTCCTAACTATCACATTTTCTGTCATATCCGTTTCCTATATTCATCAATGATCAATATTCTCATTTCCATATCAATACCTGATTACATATGTTACGACCATGAATTATGTAGTTTTCTCAAACCGACGATATTCTTGATGAATTCTACATGTCGACCATTTAAAGCCTTTGGTTTTAATGAAACTGTTGTACTTGAATGGGAATCACTTTTGGAGGCTCTTCACATTGTCTTCCGTGACTATTCTCAGACAAAATTATTTAACAATCAAGGAGTTTGCAAAACAGAAAACGTATTTCATTGTCCTAATACATTGAAATGTATCACAAAATATCAACTCATCGATGGTTTCAATGATTGCTACGCAGGAATTGATGAGATGATTGATTATATAGTTATAGCCTTCAGTAAAAGCATCGTTTTTCATGTCTACCACAAGATAAATGCATTCAACCATGCCTATTACTAAATAAAAGTTCTTACTGTAATTAGAACGATGATGAACTTAAGGACAGTAGACAGCGACAACTTGCTACGATAGCATTTTTAGATATTTGTGATGGATTCGTTTACATTACATTGCTCACTAATGATGGACGTACAGAAACTGATGAAACGAATTGTCACAAATGGCAATGTGATAACCACTATACACATTGCAACGGAGTTTGGAATTGCCCTAATGGTGCCGATGAAGTTGCATGCAAAACCTCCCGATGCAGTTCTAATCAACACCCATGTCTTTCTTCCCGAACATATCAACCAATATATGTATCATTGAATCAAACAGGGAACGATGTGATTGACTACTTGGGATCATATGACGAGAGATCCTACTGCCGCGAAGTCTACCCCACGCAACCGAAGTACCGTTACAAATGTCAGAATTCCAGTGAATGCGTATCGGCTGGATTGGTGTGCCGATTTTCTGATCACTACCCAAAAGACGACAACAGAAATATATGTCGATCGATAGTTAGAGGAGATGAGAGCCTGATTAAATAAAATGATGGAAATCATCGAAAAAAGTATTTTTCGCTTTCAACAGATAAAAACCTAGATAATTATCGAACAACATTATTCGACTATGAAATGGATTTAAGCGTCTTTCAAACGTCAAAGAAAAAGATAAACCAACGTGAAACTATCAAAGAAATAACCAATCTTAATATTTCTCCAGCATGGTTTTGTAATAATCGTGGGATTCCAATTTATAATCATGTGCGTCACGAATATCATTGTCTTTGCCCTCCGAGTCATTACGGCAATCGCTGTCAATATCAAAATCAGCGTATCAGCCTTACCATTCGATTTGATAAAGAAAATGCTCCGCATCTTTGGCATTCACTTCTCTATTTTTCAATCATGTTAATAGATCATCGTCATCATCACCATCATTGAGCATATATATTTGCTTGTTTTAATTACATCCTGATATTGGTTTACGTATTGGTACGAGGACCAAATATGATTTGTCGATCAAATGAGAAGAATTTGGTGTTCCTTTTACTAAAATTTGTCTCGTATTCGTAAAGTCTGCTTGTGATGAAATTGATATCAATCGCTTAAGAAGGCAGCCAAGTTTCAAACATTCTAGAACTTTTGGATCAGATGGATCATTGCTATGAAGGTTTGCAATAATAAGAAGTTCAATGCATTCCTCCGTTATTTTTCGGATAAGGCAAGGGCGAGGTTTAGCTCTATTTCGTTTCTTTCTTGGTGACGATCTTGAGATGCTGCTTGTTGTTAATCGAAAACTTGATGACTCCGTACTTTAATTTGATCTTAAGCTAAATACATCGTGAAACGAATGTCGCATCCAATATATATTCCCAACAATTGACAAAGGTGGCGGAACTTTTGAATGGTCATGATGACATAGTTGAGATTGATTGAACGATAGTAATGGGGAACGAGAACGAGAAAATGATGTGATCGAGAATCATCTGTTGATGATTGCTAGAGTGAGAGATAAATGTGAGAGAAGTATATGTGCACGTACAACATGTACGTTAACTTTATTTAACAAGAATGTGTTTAAATATAATAATAACATCTATATATAGAGAGAAAAAACATGAGAAGAACAGAGAGAAGACAGAAGGGAAACAAGTCCAGATCAAAGAAGATGAAAGAGGATAGAGGATGACATATATAGATATATAGAGTTTGTATGCCAGCGACATCACTGAAACAATGATGAAGAATGACGGTATCGATATAATTGAGAATCTTTTTCTTCATGTTGACCATTTGTTGCTGGTAGTAGCGGTGCTGCCTATGAAAGACATTTTCTAGAAATATCTGATGTATCTTTTTACTTACTTTTAATGGTAGTTGTTGATCTTGATTTATGTTTAAGTTGTGATGTTGATTGAGTTTGATCATGATGATTTCTTTCTCTTCCATGTCTATGTGAATGTAAATCTTGACTATTATTATCATCTTTTGCTTTTTTGTTTCCTAAATTAATCAATAAATCATGGATTAAAAGAAAAACAGATTGATTAACAAATTTTTCTTGAATCACGAATAAGTTGTCCACAATGAGCTATAACAACATCTTGTAATGATCGCCTATTTGAATCAACTGATATATTCTGAACAATATTGACTACAGATTGACCAGATATAACATGACCAAAAACGACATGTTTACGAAATAGAAGATAAATATTTTTGAAATTAATTAATAAGATCTTACCCATCAAGATGTGATGCTTCAGATGTTGTACTAAAAATAGCAAAGAATTTTCTTTTTCTTAAATGAACTTTTATTTTTACATGCAAAAATTGTGATCCATTTGTATTTGAACCTTGATTATCCATCGAAAGAAGATATGCTTGATCATGTTTGATTTGAAAATAATTCGAAAGTCTTTACCATCAAATATCCCACCGTAAATCAATTCACTACCAGTGCCATTACCTAAAATTGCAAGATCAGATAGATACAAAAACAAAACCATATTTTTATTTTTATTTTTTTACCATTCATCTCTCTCGTGTGAATAAAAGAGATAAAAATCAGTATTCACTTTCTTCTTTCTTTTACTTTTTCATTTCAAAACGTCAATTGGTTATTCTATAAACTAAAAAGAACATTACATTCAGTAAAATCTCCCGATTGAATCATAACATCGTTAACAATTCAATGAAGATGACATTTTTTATAATATAATTTTTTATTTGATGTTGAAACACGTCCTTTTTCTCCTAGAATTTGAATTCTAACAAAGCTTCTAAATTTAAAAAAGTCTCTTTTACCTGTATATAAACAGCGAATATTTTCGCATGTACGTGGACATATCATTAAAAAGTTCAAATACAATTCGACCAACTAAAGAAAACAAAAAAAACTAACAATGGAACAATCTCTACTGATAAGCAAGACGGACGATCGTATGGAGTGCAAATGGTCAGACTCATTGAAAAACTAATGTATATAAAATATGAGCTACTGATGGCGTACTTGAGCAGAGATATTAGATTTTTCAGTGAGCTTTCTCTGTCGGACCCCACGTTCTCAGCAAAATCATATTTTCGAATTTCGACCTGTAATTTTCTAGGTACAAAGCCCTCGTCGCGACTAGCTTACAAAACGAATTTCAAAATTTTTGAACAAATTGTTTTCGATATGCGAATTTCCCAAAGCAAACAACTTCTATTGAAAAGCGCTAATATTCTCAGAGATTCATATCTTGGAGAGAGTTAATCCAAGACTTCCGAAATATAGTTTGTAAGCTAGTCTCGACGAGGCTTTTGTGTTTAGAAAATTTCAGGTCGAAATTTGAAAATATGACCTTGCTGAGAACGTGAGATCCGACGGAGAAAGTTCACTGAAAAATCTAATATCTCTGCCCAAGTACGCCATCAGCAGCTAGAACGAACCGAACTAAAATGAGCTCAAACGGATTTTTAGCAAAATAAATGCAGATAAACCGAGCGGAACTCGAAATAAAAAGACAGGGTTCGAATAGGTCTTTGATCAATGAGTGTGGATTTCTGTTAAATTTCTATAGTGTGTATACTAGTTTGAGTTACAGGTTCACTGAAGCGTAGTATTGCGATGATAGCTCTCCTGAATGGCTAGTTTTCTTCATTTTATATGCAGCTAATTGCAATGTTTCTGAACGTTGTTCTTGCTTCATTAGTTGCGACGCACCTAATTTCACTCTAGTCATTTTGTATCGATAAATAGCACTTGAGCAAATGTTGCTATGCGGTACTTGCAAGTAAGTTTTCTATTTAAGCTTAGCTATCAGTCGTTTTTTTCAGTTACAATCATTACCAAGCTATAACCCGGGTGGTTGTATAATGCCCCCATGTGCAGACCGTATTGTTCGACCAGGGAAGTATTTGAAATCTCTTACATAGGCGTTTTTGATTTTTAAATACTCATGTCCTTTCAGTAGAGGGTTAGCGACACTAAGGTCGCGCTACTTGTTTAATTGTATGCTTTCCTGATAAATAAGATTATCTATGATATATTTAGGAAGAGACGATAAACCTTTGAAATAAAATCATTTTTTATTATCTATCTATAGGTGCTATCTACTATTCATTTCTATACTTCGAATGATATGAATAAGCAGATACACAGGAATCCTGTTATCCAATCTGGGTATGGTCGGATCCGGGTAGTACCGAACCCGGGTAGTTCGGGTTCGGTGCATGCCTAGTTGATGTTGAGGAGGCAGCAACAAAATTCAAAATTTCAAAAGAATTCAGGACTTCACTAGATTGAAGTACACGATAAGATAATTGCTTCAATCTTCCCGGGTTCCTTCGAAAATCACTGCAACGATGCTGTTGCTCTTGTTAACGTAGTGACACAGCTTTTGATGTCTCAAGCGGTTTAGCGGGTTTTCCTGCATACTTCCTTCTGATCTCTTAATGATATATCAGTCAGATGACGAGATTTTCCCCATCGATTCCTAACATAATCACAGTAGCTTCATCGTGTTTAACATATTAGTTTTGTAATGATTGTAATGACAGCTTGCTTTTCACTATTTGTTTATACACGTTTTCTCTGTTTCGGCAACCATCGATGGATATAAAATTGCAGAGGACTACATATTCTATAGTAGTTTTTCATATTAATGAAATATTCATTTGATAAAGAAATTCTGAATCGATTGTAGATTATATGGAGTTCTGTCAGTAGGTTTCTTTCGCTATGTCTTCTGACTCTGAGAAAAATATTGTATAAATCATAGAAAACGAAATCAGCTATGTCACAAATTATAATCACAAGCAGTGAATCCATTGTTCTGATAATATAACTTGATGTGGAAGTGATTTAATACAATATATTAGGGAATTTCTGGAATATTACTGCAACACAAATATTATAATTCATCTTTCTGGATAGAGACATTCATCGATACCATAAAACATATTTGATATGCAAAAATAAACACTTCAATGATCGATATTGAAAAAAACGATCCAAAAACTAGAAAAGAGTTACGACTCAGATCTAGAATCTCACAACGACACTCCAACGATGAGTCTGCTTTAGCTGATTTTTATTATATGTAAAAATATGAGTCATTAGCTACCAAGCAAGTCTCGGGGAAAGCAAATTGATTCTTGTCAATACATGGGAATACTAGTGGAAAATCAAATGAACATTTCGAAAGAAGAGATTAGTAAGAGACAACAGGCTGAAAGAAGTGCTGAATCAAAACAGGTTCATTGTTTAAGTGTGACCATAGTCATTAAGAAGGTAATAGTATAAACTAAAACCAATGTTTCACTGCTAAACGTTGACACAGCATGGCCAGCATATTTTGATTTTGTGTATGATGATGGTGCATTAGATGAGCAATTCACCGAAACATTGGGATAATTGCCGGGACCAAAACATCCCGTTATATAGGGAAAAGTTTGTGTCGCAAAATAAGCGTAATCACCATTTGAATTGTAGAACATACCGTTGCATATATCGAAGCCACTCGTTACCTGGCAAAAAGAAATGAAGTAATACACTGCATAATAGATTCTCAAGCACTAACATATGCACTTTGAGAGATATAATACTATGTATTGAAATTGAAGGAAAGGTTTGTCCACAAAAGTATTTCTGTTGTGCAGAGACGGAATGACCGGAAGCAGATGTTCCTGGTTTTGATAATTGCGCTTCTTGCATGAAAGCAGCAATTATTTCTCCGATTGTGGATGCTAACCTCTAGTCTGGGGAAAATCATCTCTACCTTGATCTTCTCACATCCTTGCTGTTATTTCATTATTCGATTATAGTCTTGATCATCTTTCTATTTTTTATTGTACGAAAGTACTACAGAATTTGCTTTTTTTACCTGTGTTCCGGTAGAGTCATAAGGTCCGTAAACAACATGACCATCTTTGGCTATGCCAATTACGGTTAAAGTGCGATAAGAGTTATATAATGATATACTGTAGGTGGCAACACTTGAAGAGCAACTAGGCGTTCCTGTACATGATGCAATAGTACCCGATGGTGGATTCAATGCACAACCAGATGCAATGTGATAATGATATACGTAATGATCGTTTGGATGTCCGAAACATGCGTCTACTGATTCAGTCGGATTGCCTCCAGTAGGGTAAAATGGATCAACATCATTTGCACTGTTCACATTCATGAGAGCAACACCGTCAACACTGACGCCTGCAACTGTGGTTAGTTGAGTACCGTAACTCACCAGATTCGCTGAAGTTGGAGCGTTCGCTTCAGTTTGAATGTTACAAAGAAGTTGACTTAACGCCGCCGTAGTTGTGGCATTCTGATTCAGTGAATTGACACTAACAGTAGGATTGAAATTAACTTCGAAGTCAATGTCTTGCTCATTCAGAATCGAAGGCGTAAAAGGACAAAATAGTGGAAGCCCATTTGACTGAACACGTATGCGAACAGTTGAACTTCCGGAGCAAGTGACGCTCAGTTTATGAGCAAATACACATGTACTGCCGTACATAGTGCCAGGACATGTTGTAGAATTGAATCCTGCGCTACATGAGACATTCACACCAGTTGTGGCAGTAATATTTGAAACCGCGGTAGTATATGAACCACATGTTGTATAAAAATTCTTGGCTATTGTGGTGCAATCTACAATGAATTGCTCGCTATTTATGAAATAGATCAATAGAAAGTTAAGAACAAAAAGTAAAACAAGAAGGGAAGTCGATCATGGTAGAATCAATGATCGAAATACAGAATAAATATTCCACTGAACAAGGTTGAAAACCTATCACCCTCCGAAATTTTTCTTATTTACATAGGATGAAAACCCACAATTATCTGTGCGTCCGTCTCTATTTGTTTTAATCATTCAGTAGAACGATGATTCGCTACATGCGGAATAGCTTCTGAACAAGGAAGCTCAACATTTTCATTAATTTACTTTTCCAGACGTTTTCTTCCATACATGAAAATGTATGACTTGAAAAAAAGTTAAGTTTGCAAAGCTAGAAATCCTCACAATAAAAATCAATATATGAAATTTTCACAAATATCATTCTTTATCTAGTGTATTACAAATTCGATCGTCAAAACGTTGTTACTCTCGATGTGGCTAAGCGGAAATCAACGGAAGATGCTCAACGAAGCTCTTCGCTTCAAGTTTATTATCAGATAGAAGCTCGCATTTATCCAAAACAGAACATTTTTCCTACAAGCTTTGAAAATGTCATTCAGACAAGAAGAGAAAAATTACAGCTTTAAATTTTACCTCAATCAATAAAGATATATTTAAACTGACGTTACTTCCAGTGCCATCGGCTCAGAGGTTACTGCCTGATCTGTGGCCATTGCATGATCAATCAAACAGCAGAAGAAAAGATGCTGCATAAAAATCCCTTGAGGAAGATCAAACAAAAGAGTTATTGCACTATACGAAGAAAACTGTGAAACGTTTTTCGACAAGCGTCGCGCATTTGTCTCTTCCAAATAGATCATTTATTTTTCTGTTTGTTTTTTTAACTCCTTTTCAACGTACTCCTTAAAAGTCACTGATCTTTCACTGTGTGTTAATTTTCTTGTTGACGTTAAACTTTCATGTAACTGTCTACTAACGAGTAAAAATGTACTTGTGCGTATGTGAAAAGAGAAACTGAGAAAGATCATTTTATTCTATTCTGTGTATGTAAAGGTTAAACTTTTTTTTGGTAGTCAGCATCTAAGAGATCAAGTTACCAAAATAAAATCCTATTGAAAAAAAATTTGATGCATCGACTTCAGCGAAAATATTTCACGTGCCTCGAAAAAGAAGACTTTGTTGTTTCTAAGAAGTTTAAAAATATAGTGTACTCCACTGATTTGTGAATAACTCGACAATGAGCGCAGCTAACGATCTACCATTTTCACCATTCGACAAAGGACACTATGGGACACAAATCTATGTTAGAAACCACGCATTGACCAGTAGTAGTCACTGTTGGCAAGTTTTTGATAGATTTTGAATCCAAATTCAATCGTTTTGATAGAGAAAAAAGTGTTCTCTCTCAATCTGCACAAGGTCGAGCTCACTAGTTAGTGCTATTCAATAGTTATAGACATTTTAATAAGTGTCCCAAAATTGTCCAAGTGGTCTTCAACCGCCATAAAACAGTTTTTGACAGGGGTAATGGGTTGTGCCGAATTCAACAGTGACGTTTGTTTCTAGTTTCAAATTGATCCACTGCTGTTTGGCTTACAGAACGCATGCACAGATTAATTCGAATCTGAAAGCAAACATCACGACTGGACACAGCGCAGTCGATTACCCGTATCCGACTCCGTTGTAGGGCGGTTGAAGGTCACTTGACCAACGTTGGGACTCTCAAAGAAATACTTATAGCTGGCTCGCGATCTCGTCATTGTGCAGATCGAATGAGAACTACTTTCCCTATAAATTGGTTCAACTCATATTCAAAATCCATCAGAACAGCAGTATCTCATATCCAAGAATTTGGTGATGAATCCACATCTCCAAATTTCGGGATATGCGACGCTAATCTATCGGGCCCGCCGATTGATTCAGTGCTACCACCGGTAACATGTTTCATTGATAAATGGTCGAGTTAAGAATTCTTGCGGTCTGGTTCTATATAACTTTTTCTTACTAGCCCCAACCCAGTTGGAGACCATACCATTCTGACTGTTACTGCTTTTGTATTTTGATTCTATCTTGACCGTTTGAGGGTCAAATCTAAAATATTTTTTTAGTAAAAATGTTAGACGAAGAGGTTTCTACAAAACTGTTTTTTTTTTAATAATTCTAAGATGGTTATGTTTCTATGGTTGACTGTCGGTGACATTTCTCATCTAATATATGCCTGAAGCGTGATCGAAGTATCACGTCATCCATAAAGAACAGTTGCCTAATAGGTGTTGGTGGGGGGGGGGGGGGGGGGGGGGCAGCTTAGGAGAAAACAAACCGCTAGTGACCGTTGCTAGAGGTTTGTCGTTTGCTTGGCAAAATAGAGGTTGGAAGGCAGTCCGATTTTTGCAAAAAATATGGCTTTCTTTAAATCCTAAACGTGCTGGAAATATTCTAAAGACATGTCGAAAACCTTCTCGAAGGTAGCGCATCTACTTGTTATTATTTATTGGCATGAAGGGAACACTATCAATATGACATGTTAAATAGGGGTGTCACATTTATATATCCTTATTGCTGGCTGCATAAACTACATGTTATTGTTGAAGCAACTTTTTTAATCCGAAAATCCTTTCTCATACTTGAACGCTTTTCTGGATGAAAAATATCAAGAAATGTACATTTAGTTACGACGTCGGAACGCTGTTATGATAAATGTGGTAGTGCTCAAACAACATTTTTATCGTTTCAATTGTTCCTGGAAAAGTTTCGACCCGAAATCACACGAAAGAATGCTTGCATTCACTTTCAGGTGGTACTTGCCGAATTTAGCTTACCAACTGTAGTTGTTTTTTTCAAAAGCAAAACAAGAGGAACCGTGATTGTTACGGTGACACAAACAACAACTGTCGTAATTACAGCAACGACCCATGCTTTCTTTTTTGTCGACCTATACAAAGTTTTATATGAATGAGCAAAGCATACTCTCTAAAGGAACGTCACTGCAATGAAAAGATATACTAACCAAGGAGTTTTGAATGTAGCTGTGGAAATTTTATTCACTTGATCCAACTTACCATCAATCTTTTTGATCGGCAGTTCAGATAAGTTACTTTTCTAAATAGTAATGCTCGTGGGAGCAATTATTTCAATTTTAATCACACTTATCCGTACTGTAGAGTCATTAGACGCACCCTTATTAGAACCAAGGAGGGCTTTCGATTGGATGGCAGCAGACATGATTTAACAAATAATACTACGCAGTAATTAAATGTAGCAGCAAACCTTCGAATGTGCGCCTGTCAGTATGTATAGTTGGATCAATGACTGAAGTGCGTTTTTTGTTATGTCTTTATTTTTACACTTTCAAACTAAAAGCAAAGAATTCTTTTTTCTTTCTTCACATTTTTCTCTCGATGAGGGTCTCCATCACTCGTATGATGTTAGGATATATGTGAGTTCAAAGAGAAAAGCATGTTGAAGGCTACCATTTGATGAACGAAACTTAACAAGTTATGCTTTTTAGTTAGACAGTCAAAAATCGGATACAGCTTATTCCAGGGTAGAATCGCGTAAACTAGAAAGAGTGAAAGTCTCCAAATTTCTTCAGCGTAAGTTATCTTCAGCCAGGATTCAAGTATTGCCATAATGAAATCGCTCGTTCACTTGGCACAGCTCTCTGTTTTAAGAACTCAAATAAAACTTTGCAAGGTCTACACGATAGAGTTGCAACCACATCGACATGCCAGTATCAGCCTAGTCACTGCATTTTTATACCGCTTCGATAGAGACACTGTACATGATCGGTACAGACTAGTATTTCATCGGTACGGCGTTCAAATCATTATACCAAACAGTTTTACCGTATATCTGGCTTTTTGATTCACATCCTTTTCTAGTGCGATGTGTGTGCGTATGGTAACTGAAGGCTGTGGCGATTTTTACTGACCCCCCCTGTAACAATCCTACCGAACTTGTAATGTGTTGCGTATTCTTAGCCAAACTGTTTGTAATGTGCTCTTCTAGTTGTTACTCATACAAAGCTCTGTAGACTTTAATCTCTTCTTCTCTCATTTATNCCCCCCTCGTTTTTTCGTTGATAAAATGATGAACTGAACACTCAATGGCTGCTGCTATGTGATCGCAGGCACCCTTGTCAGTCTGTGAATCAGAAAAATTGATGAATTTTATGCGTGTACTTGTTTCTTTGAAAAGTTACTCAACATTCAATGATACTTCAGTGCTATGGTAGTAGCCCGCATTATCTGATCTTATATGGATATATTTGGTATCATGTGCTGTTTGCCGAATGCGTAAAAATATATTCTGAATAATAAAAACAGTCATCTTAGTATTTAGAGCATACTGAAAAAATACGTAGTAGAACACTTTACATTGAAATATATTATCATTTGTACGTATGATCTTTGACACAGTTTCTTCTGAAGCGACTAATGAATAAATATGAGTTTAATCATGTTGGCAATATTTTTCGAATCACGTAGATCTTTCTCCATAGCAGATGACCCTTTCCTCCCTGGGGATTACTGTGTCGGGCATATAAAAAGATCCCAGGTTTTATAATGTATCTTTTATCCAAGTATTCTGGAATTGTTTATGTGCCGGCTTTTTTCGTCGGTCATTCATCGCGTACGCAGCAATCAAAGCAGTGTAACAGAAAAGGAATGATCTATTTATTTGAAGAAGTGGCGAATTTGAAGTTGCCTTTTGTGATATTGGCTATATATGCACGAATGATGTTCGATTTATTCTTCTAACTATGTCAGGATTTACCATCAGTTCAAAGTCGATCGAATATCGAATAAACAATGATAGTGACGATGAATAAGAGTAGGAGAAACGAATTAAAAAAGAGGCAAATGCGGCGATGGAGAAGGCAAAGAGAATCATGGCCAAATTGAAATATGAGAAAAAGAAATACCCAAGGCACTCACGATCATCAGGATCTTGTCGGATTCATAAAATGCCGATCGGTTCCCGTCGATAGTTGCCGGAATCTTTGCTCACGGAAACCTACTCCAGGATATCACCGGTTTTCGATCAAATACTGGTTAAATTCGACGAGATCTTGTCGAATTGTATCCGATTCCGACCAAATCCGGACCGGAATCCGGGAGCAAGGATTGAGTGGCCTGGGTAGCAAAGCATGAATCAGTTTGCGAAGAAAAAAATCGCTTTGTTTGAGTTGCTTTTCTCATGAACCTTTCTTGACGGCAGATGGACTTTTATGCTTGAATAATCATAATAGAAGACCCGAACTTTTCTATCATGGGAAGAGGTTTAGGCAGTGTGTCAAGGCAAACTACTGGTAGCAGAATAGTCTTTCTACAAGAAGTTAAGATTATATTGAATATTGAACAAGACAATTTTTATCGTTCGTTGCAAGTGCAACAGAGAAAGAAAGTAAAACACTTTGGCTTTTTTCTCCCTTGCACTCACGACTGCCTGTTTCTATAAGGCTTTCATGACGATAGAAGTCTTTTGTTTTGTGCAGACTTTTGTGTTATCGTTTGCTGTATACTTGGGTGTGGGGTTTAATTACCATGTCTCAACCCAAATTTATACATATACTCACACTCGTGATGTTTTATCAATGAAAGAGATACAATAAAATGAGTCATATTTACAATAAATTAGAATTCTTTTTTCTAGATGATTTTTTTTTCGATTGTTTTTGCTGTTTGAATTGTTTTCTTTTATTTCACCAGAGTGTGGGTGTGGGTGGGTGAGCGAGTCGGTGTGGCTGTATATGTTTTATTAAAGCACAACCAGAACCACAACATCCACAGTCTCGAGAAATAGCTAGACTTCGGAGTATAACTGGTGGACAATGAATGTTAAAACGCAATTGCAAAGATGATTGTAAAACAAACAAATACAAGTGTAGGCAACATAACATGATATATAATTCACGATATCATCATTCTGCAACTTACTGTAATAAATAATATAATTATTTAAAACTTTACTGATTTTTTTCGTACATGACTTGTACAATGTTGTTTCATTTTTGTTACACAAATGTGTCTTGCCTTTTTTTGAAAGACAAATCTTAAATAACGTTTTTGATGATTTCATTTGGTGAAAATAACTTTGATGACACTGGTTATCGAAGTTATTACTTCTATATTCGCACCCTATAATAAAATAAATTTAATACACGGGATTTCTATATGTGTAAAATGAAAAGACAGTTCAGTGGGTTATGGAAAAATAAGGCTTTTGACTAGTAATAGGTTAATTCGTGTGTGAGTTATATTTAGTTTCACTTTGCTTGCACTAATTTGTTTGAAATAAGCAGAAAATTGACTGAATATCTTGAGGAACATGTAAGTTCAACTTTTTAGAACCCACGGTGTTGTCCGACGAATTAGTGTTTTCATCGTATTCCGAATTTCTCGATCAAGATAGAGTGTTGTTGCTTTTTCGACACAGACTGCTATAGAAATAAAAACAAGACCCATCGAATAGAATATCCAAATTCTTGTCAATAGGTACATTGTAGTGGGCAGTCCTCCCGATAAATAAATTCCAAAGAGAATCAAAATATTTCGAAAACGTTGAAAATCTCGATTTCGGTGTGGACTGTTTTGTGTTCCATTATTCGCTTGTGTGCTACTATTTCTCACTCGATAATAAACATAGATATAAAGGATTACAACCAAAACAGTTCGTAAAACATAGTAGGCAAATAAAGTATACTGATGGTGTAATGGATAGAGTGCAGTAACCCAACAAAGAGTATTAGGCCTCAAGAAAATGTCATGCGTTATAATTGCGGGCGAAGTTAACATAATCACCAGAATCCATTGAATGCAAAGAAGTACAAGATGGCTTTTCAGTGAAATACTCCAACGATTCTTGTTAGCAAAAACAATAAAAAAGTAAACAAGATATGGACTGAATCAAATAGGAATATATGACACCTGCAACAGTCTGATAAGCGAAATAGCCGCGTAATCGACATGATATGTCACTGGTATCCCATGTGATAAAGAATAAATAAATATAATGGTTTGATTGAGAGGCACAGCAGAAAATTGTCCAAACACAAGTATTGGAAATCAATAGATGAGCGACTGTATGTAGTGGTCGCTTAAACGCAGTCAAATCTAGTATAAAACCAGCGATGAGGACTGCCAGAATGGAAAAACCAATTGCTACAGCTACGATACGTGAATAATCAGTATAGTCGATAGGTAGAAGACATTGCTCGTATGAATGGCCGAATATATGTTGTGAGATTATATATGGTAAGAAGACAGTATGTTTTTTTCTCTCTCTCTGATTCGAAGAATAAGAACTATGTTCTGTGTATTCTGGATATTCTTAATGGTAAAGTGAATGATAGTAGATTGTTCATCACAAAGAATAGATAAAAATAACTAGAAATAGAAATATTAGTATTTTGCTAATATTCCAGATCTTTCCAATGTTTCAAAATAAACCTGTGTATTAAAAAAAATCAATATCCGATTCTCTACGCAGCTATGTATTCCATTTCATCAAAACACATTCTAGAGGTTTCGAAGAACTAATACATTGATCACTCTGAACTTCTCATTGATATAAGATACCGACGTGTCATCATACCAAAATTAATCAAAGTGTTCATTTATGATTTCACATGAAATTAAAAACATTTTCATTAAATCCTAATGACTATATTTATTTTTCTGCTTGGAGTCTAAGAAATAACTGAAAACTATTGAAAAATTGGTGAAAATTAAAGCACTTCGGCATAAACCTGACATACCATCGATTAAGTCGATGTCAAAATAATCACAGTATACTGTCTCGTAGCAACACTAACTCGAAATCATTACTAAGAAGAAATGGTGTCAAGCAAAGAAGAACTTTTAAAGTTGTGAGTGTTTAAAGTTCCAATGTGGATGCGGATGAAGAGGGTGTGGTGTGTGGGTATGCATTGCTTCTTCATCAAACTCACACCCACTCACACCCGATAATTACAATAAAAAATATTCAACATATAAACCACAAATAGAAACTAGTTAATTCAAATGCTATCAAAACATTGAATTTTGACGGTAGTATTCTTAATCAGTCAAGTACTTCGAAAAATGTTCACTACATATTTCCACATTATTTGAGTTTAAGGACAATGAGAGTAACATACGATATGTGCGAATTCGGCTATTTGTGGAATTATTTTATATTTATTTTACAATTATGACTGGGTCATTTCTTGTACTTACAGGTTTTGAAGTAAAATCTGTTTAAAAGTTGAATGAAAATCTCATATAATATTATTTTCCTACAAAATAGATAAAAGTCTTGTGATTTATTCCTTTTGAATCATATAAATTTTATTGCGATCTGATCGAATCTTGTAGTAGAATCTAAACGCGTTGTGGCTGCCATTTACACCTATAAACTTGCTCTGTACTCGATATTCATCCAATTGCTCTATCAGACTTTTTCCAATTAATACCATACACGAAGGGAACGAGAAACGCGCAGTCTTGAGGGTATAATTGTGTTTGTTTTACATTCGTAATTGGCAAATAAAAATGGTTTTATATCCTCTCAGAGATGATTGGCTGCACTTCTTGAGTTATTTTTAAACACATATAATTGATGGGTATTTTATTGAAATGAGATGAATGCCCACCCTATTTACTAAAATTAATTGAAAGGGGTGCTAACCCTTTTTACACAACTGAAATGAAAGAGTCAAGTATTCATGTACTATATAAGGTGCTGTTTAAATCATTTTTTAATACTCACAATTTCTGAATTCGTCTGCACCACTCTTGGTTTAAATACACACTTTCGAACGACACCCTTCATTGATCAAAGCAAGTAATTTATTTCATTTATTAACTTCTACATAGTTTCATTCCGAGCTCAGATTTAAAACGATGAAGAAAGGACCTAATCCTGATGATGATGGCAATCCACAAAATGAGTGTGAACATTGTGGCGACGAATACGATCCTAATACTGGTGGTCAGAGTGTCAGTGGGGATAACATTTGTGACAATTGCTGCGAATCTGAAGCTAACCAAGGCTGAACACTTCTATGTTTTTTTTAATCAAGATTGAATAAATTTTTGATTGTATATGCGTATGAATAAAATTGCAGTTTTGTTCTGTCATATTCAACCATTATTTTCATCGTTCCGAAAATTTAATGAAATATCTGCCATGACTATAGTGTTCGGTCTTTTCTATTAGAATAGTAGAATATTTACTTCAATAGCACAACTTGTGTGGGCGTGAGTGTGTGTTCTTATGGATTTCGAGAAGATCAACACATTATTAATTGTTGGTATGTCAAATAGCTTATGACAACATAGTAAAAGACATTAATATATTTGATGAAATTATTTTAAAGAATATTCTACGTTTGCAAACCTTTCAACAAAACCTATAACAACACTTGGCCATTTTCAATTTTTCCATGCTCTAATATTTATTTTAAAATGCTTACATTGTGACAGCAGTTCATGTAGGTTCAAAATAGTTTTTTTTTCTAGATCAGTCTCAAGTAACTCTATAAACGTTTTGATATGAAGATGAATCAAAATATTTATTAGAAATCGGACGAGGCTTGTTGATGGCGGATTTTTATTGATTTGAAAATTCGGAATATATTTATCTTCAGCAACTAAAATACTTTTCTCTTCCATCGCATCTATATAGTTGTTGAGTTTCGACTGTTTGCTTGTTTTATCTGGCCAATAAACTTGAATATTTGATCATATTGTTGTATTTGAACTAAAGTTTTTAATAATTCTTCGGTGTGACTTTTTATTTCTAAAAGTTCTAAACTATTTCAAAATATTGGTCCCTGCACTGTGAAAATCAGCATATTAACTTTTCAATACTTTTATTTTCATAAAAATTAATATTCACGTTATCTTAGATGGATATTATTCTTATTGACTTCAATAAATCATTCCTTAGCTAACTTTTTCTATATTTTTGTTACTCGGAAATTCTTGTCTATAGAATTCTATTTTTAAAAAGCTCCCATATATATATATTGTTACATTTTATTCGTATACTTACGAGTAAATAGTATTATTGTGAATGCTTTTTTACAAAGTTCTTTTCTGTCAGTGCCCAATAAACACATGAGAAAATGGTATTTTTTATATGATCATTTAGAGATATGATTTTTCTCAGCTGATACACGTTACTGTGTAGTCAAAAATGAATAGCTATGAAAATTCAATAGTCTTATTCCCATCGATCTGGTGAAAAAGACTTTTAGTGAGCTCATTTTTATTAATTTTGACATATTTTAACTGCTACATGAAATATTGAAGTCTTGATATTAGAACAAAACAAATTATGAAATGAATATTTGAAGTAATCATACTATTCGAAATGTTAATAGACGTGCGAACTCAATTATTTTGAAGCGCTTAGATGTTTCATGAGTTGGATGAATGCTTGAATTTTAGCTTCGTCCATGCAGATTTGTTGTAATTCTGTACCATCTCGGTAGAATGCACCATTTTTAAGTTCATGATCAGAAGTGTTAACGACATGCAAGATAGAATCGGCCCCAAGTTCAGCTGATCGAGCTCCTGGACCATGTTTATTGATATCGGTAGCACAATAACCTGGACAAACAGAATAAACGAATATTTTTCTCGCGTCAGAACACTGCTGTGCTTCAATTCGAGTGAGAGCAATCAATGCCATTTTAGAAACACCATACGCCAAATACGGTAATTCCGTGGTATATCCACATTTTTCAAGATTGTTGGATTCGAGTGCTAAAACAAAATCTTCAACAAGACAATCAAGCTGCTCTGAAGTTAACGTTGCCGATGTGTATTTGTCTTGAAGATCTTTCGAAACATAACCTAATACCATTGGGCCGATTCCACTGGCAACATTGATAACACGACCATGGTCAGAAAGAAAAGGAATTAAGTTGTCATTGAGTAGTTTCACTCCATAATAGTTAGTAGCCAGTGTTTTTCGAGCTTCCTCGACGGAGTCATCTGTTGGTGCAATACCTGCATTGTTGATAATTACGTCCAATTGGCCCCCATACTTCTGTTTAATTTCATTCGTAGCAAAAGAAATGCTCTCTTTTGACAATGTATCTAACTGAAGAAGATGCACGTTGGTTGGAGAACCCAACTGTGAAAGTGCGTCTTCCCCACGTTTCAAATCGCGACTACCAAGAAGAATAAGATCGTCGTTGATCGACGACGGCTGTTTAATTAGTTTCTTGATAACTTCAAAACCAATGCCTTTATTCCCACCAGTAACCAAAATCGTACGTTGTAGCTTCGCTACTGTTGACATATTTCATATAAAAAATACACGAAAATGCGCACCCTTTGATAAAAAAAGAAAGAGAGAAAAAGCTTGGTTATGATGAAGAGCAGTTTTGCTCGTTCTTTTTGGTCGCATTATAACACAACATTCTTTCCAGTTACATGTGCGCGCTGAGAGAACGAATGACGAGATTATATTCAAACAATATTTCCTAAACTGCTTCGTTTAGAAATGTAGTTTTTGAAAAAACGACTGATCTATCTATCTTGAAAAAGAGACAAATGCAATCTGCTTGTTTTCACCTTTTGCTTTTCAGCAATCGGTTATTTTGTCCAAGTTAAATGAATGATGGTGTGTTGGTGTGAATTAGTAGAAGACTTTTTATATCACCCACACCCACACCCACGCTCGATATTGAAATTAACTTAGATGTGTTGAGTGGCGCAGTTAACGACTTGGCACACCTCCTTTGGATTTCTCAATCAAACATATACGCATAAAAATAGGAAAATTATCTTTTTAGTTTATTTAATCATACAATATGCAAAAAATGGTCATAATAATTCATTGATCTTGATTAGAGGTATCCTTCCTGTCGTAATAATTAAATCTCATTATATATTTTTGGTTTATCTTGTTAAATTACAATAATCAATTAATGACGTCCACTATAAGAAGCATCTCGAATATCGAGAACTGCCTCGCGCAACAATGGTTGTAATCCTTTAAAAATATTTTTGTAGTGCGTTCTCCGTATTGTTAAAACTTTTCTGTATTTTGTTAACAAATCATTAATTCGACGAGCTTTATCAATGACTGCATTACAACCCAGTTGTGTAAAAAATATATCTAGTTTTGGTTGTAATATTCTCGTGATATTTTGTTCATGTGTTAATTGCCATGTAACTGACTTATCATAATCAGTAAGGAAATTATGAATTAAATGAAGATCTGTTTCACCAAGAGTTCTAGAAAGAAAAAAATAATAGCCGAGAAATAGTTTTCAATTACTTGAAAATAAGTATTATCCAAGAAGGAAAAAGCGAGAAGTCATGCACTTCAAACAAAATCTGAAATGCACACTCTTGATATCACGTCTTCTCCACTCTCTCCCTCTGCTCACGGTGTTATCAAGTTCAAGCTTATCTTTTTCCGATTTTCATAAATATCTCCCACCTGTCAGAATTTCTTCGCATCGCTACTGTATCCCATACGGCTTCGCCTTGTTTCCTTGGATCTTGAAGTTGATGTAACCGAACACGTAAGCAGACTGTCTCAGTATGACTACCTTCATCTTGTCGTTGATAAACAACAGCACATTCAGGACATTTTAGTAAAACCAACTGGCATTTACTTTGATGATCTTGAAAGTCTTTTTTAAGAACTTTTTTTTGACATCCCGAACAAGTGATTAATCGATAATCACATGTCTTTCGTGTGTTTGTAGGTTGCTATAGGGTACAATTTTCGTACATCCATTTTGTTTGTAGCGACAAATTGTCTGTAGAGTACTTAAAATTGAAGTAACTACTCGTGGACATTTACCCTGGATGTATTTTGAACAATTTGCTGGACATCTAGTAGGTTCTGATGTTCCTATTTCCCAAGATTTGATACATGATGAACAAAACGCTGTTTCACAAGTTTGACAAGCCACTGGTTCGCATAAAATTCCACGACATAAAAAACATACGGTATGATCAGGTAACGTCAAGTTAGTCACACGATCTTGAACCAAATACGGCTGCTGTTTTATGCAGGAATCAGACATTTAGAAGCAGAACAATATAGGATGGAAACTAGTAACTTTGTATGATGCAACTAAAACTGCGTATAAAATATTACTAATCGTTTCTCTTATTATTTTTTCTCACCGTGATATCGCTTTGTTGATACAGAAGAGAACACATCACTTATGTTACTCATCAAGAATTTTCCAACATGATTTACTATGTAAAGATTTATGAAAATAACACAAAACAATGTATATTTGCTTTAGCTGCAATGAAGAATTCAAAGAGCTTGTTCTTTGATATCAAATGAAGTCAACCGTTTTCTTACATCGTCTGCTCTTTTTTCAAAGAATAATAATCTTACAAACTGATCCTTGACGGAGACGTCTATGAATTTTCGGATCTTATGATGAATAAACAAAATTTTATCTAGTTCTCCTTCATATTAAGCAATCTTCTTATGTACAAATGTACGTAATATCTTACTACTGTTTACTTAAATGCATTAAAAAACTGATTCATACTTTATTTCGTTGCAAATAAATGCCAGATAAAAGATATTTATTGACCCATACGAGAAAGAGAAGTAAAATAAACGCTCATAAGATAGTGTTTTATCTGTTACTAGTTTTAAATAAATAAAAACTGAAGTGAGATGCGACTTGGGATTAGAGGTATCCTTCCTGTTACTTTAAAATAAATATTAATTTTCAGTAATTTATATTTATTTTAAATATAAATTATAAGAAATTTTAGTTATGATAAATATAGATAAAATAAAACTATCATGTTTCTTTTTGAAAATTGCGATAAGGCATCCCATGTCGTAAAAATCACTTAAAAATTGACGATTTTATCGCGATTAATTCTTTTGACTGGCGATATTTACCGATTTCCACCAAAAGATCGCAATCCATCAGTGATTTTTCAAGGGCTCGCGAGTCAGCTCTATAACTTTAGTTACTATTTTTTTTCCTCACTTATTAGTAATAAACAAATGTTGCTGAACCACTTATATCATAGGCTATCCTGTTTTCATCACACAGAAGTATAAATAAAAAGACGATGCGTACAACTAAAACTAACAATGCAATAAAATAGGATGACGAATAAATGCGATAGCTTTCAATTCATAAACGTACTCTCGTGGGACAAATATGTGATATATACATATGGAATATTTTCATCCAAATCAACTGAAGTCTACAAAAAAAACTGTTGTCTGTTTGAATCGAATTCATAATCACCACAATGCTGTCGATTGTGAATGTGATATTGCAAGGACATCATTTGATGCATCTATGAACCATGCAAAAGAGAGAACTTACTATACTGAAGTAGAATGATCAATTTTATATTTTACCTATATTTTATTTAGCGTAAAGCCTGTTGTGTTGATTTCTACGTTTGCTCAATATTGAGTAGTGAATGGGAGGCCAAATGGCCGACATGTCGTTGACTGAAAAGCCAAACTTATGTTGAACTGGATCTGAAAGAAATAGAATGAAATATAGATACGAAAAGGACGGGGGACATTAACAGCCGAAATTGGCCCCTTTCCAAAACACGGCTGTTTTCTTTTCTTTGTGCCAGTTTTTCATCTCCATTAACATTTTAAGCTACATTTAATCATTATATCAAATCTAGACTTCATCTGGATTAATTTTTCTATTACACTAAAATCAGCTGTATTTTCTTTTCGGGGCAAAACATTTTAATGAAATATTTCAGTTCTTTTAGTTCATAATGATCTCAATTTACAGGACAAATCGTAGTACTTTTCCCGCGCTCTCGGACGGTATGTCAATACATGAGAAAAGATACTGAATTCAACTTGTCACTGCGATTATATCATACAAAAACATCTAGTAAAGGTGAATACCAACGATGATATTTGCCGCGAATAGCTTAGGCAACAATGTCGGTCCACTCTTATTTATGTATTATCCGATAGAGAATTTCGAGATCTATCATGGTGTGGGTGATCTAAAGAGTTTTCTACTAACCCACATCCTTTTTGGATTTGGTTGTAAGTCCACGAATATTGGGTATTCGATAACCAAATACATTAAAACAATTTTATCAACGATTAAAACTAGACACCGAAGAATTACAATTAGATGATCAAACAATTAATGTGTTACATAGTTGTTCTTCCAGCACTGATCGATACTCACTTTTCATTCTATTTCAAATATTATTCATTGATGCTAAAGGTGCTCTAAGACAGAGTGTGTCTGCTGTCAATAGCCGAGAAATTTTATAAGAAAAACCGTGGTTGGTTATCCCTTGTCTTAGATGATACAGTGCACTGCCGATTGCTGCCGTCGTTTCGATTTAAAAGTCAGCTTCCCAATGCAATCAAAGAACTGTTTTTACAATGAAAATATTTTTTTATTCGAAACCAAGACAGGTTTCGCTAAATGCATATGTTTTTGTACTCTTAAGAAAGAAGGTTTTTCAATGAATACATGCCGCTGAATGGCATCATCAGTTTGTTCATACTCTGTTGAGACGTCTCATTCCATAAAACGAACGGATTGTTATCAGAGGCGAATGTTATGTTGAGGAAAATAATATACGCACTGTATCCTGAATCAAATTTCGTCTGTGTAGTTTTACCAGAAAAGGAAAATGTTGAGTTATTTTTTTGTTCTATTAACAAACGTTTCTGACGATCCATGACTTGATTGAAATAGAAAAAGCTAAATTGTTCACCGTTGGCTGTTGCAGTCAAAAAGGGTACTGCTGTTTTATTAACTTATTACATTTTCTGGATTTTTATGTAGACTGACATTGACGTGTTTACTTGAATAATATGATTCTATTGTGACATTGTATTTGCTAGTCAATTGTGTTTTTAACAGTTATCTACGTGACTAGACGATTGCACATTCAGTTAGATAGATTGTCGGATATTTATTAAAGCAAATGTTATGAAAGTAGTTTTCTGAATAGTTATCGGAGTTGACAAGTGTGTATAATCAGTTTGATAAGTATAGACATAGAGACTGAATGTATACATGGTCGACTTACATGGTAGCAAATATTTTTTGAATAACTATAGAGCAACAACAGTATATTTGTTTCCAGTGCTGTCTACCATTGAGAAAATCACATTGCTTTTCTTATTGATCAGGTCGATAGAGGTAAAGAATTTATTTTCTATTATAAAATATCTCTTTGAAAGATTTTTTCATAGCTTTGAGGTTTGATTGATTATGGTAAATGATCTTTAATGATATATTTAGATCTTCTTAAGTTGAGTCGCTATTTGTCGCAGTTTTACTTTGTTTAAAAGAAGAGATACTTAGAGATATTCTCCACCATTGAAACTAGCAGAAGGTCTCAATAACGATAGAAATATCTTGGAATGTCAATAATGTTCAAATTTCAGTTTCAACGCATTTTCTTCTGTCTATATATAATACTTATTGAAGGAGAGAACTATGTATAAAAGAAAGCAAAATATTGCACAAAAAAAGTGATTTCATGTTTTACAGTTGTCTTGACACGGAACTTTTTTTTATACAGTTTAGCAAAAACTTTTCGACTCAGAGTCGATTTACCCATTAACTTCATTTGTAATGGACAGCAACAATATATGAGTAGCAATTCGACGTCCTAAGAATGCTAGTAACGAATAGTTTTTAGGGTATCTTCAGTGGAATCTTTCACGGATTCTTGTTTCATCTCTTACAGAAACAAAATGGATGGCAATGCAACGTTATTGGAAGATTTTCATTATCTTAATTTGGGTAATCGTATAAGTACTATTGTTCTATCGATAATTTATGCATTTGGGTTCATGGGCAATATATTCTCAGTGATCACATTTTCTTCAACTGAAATGAGACAGCTATCGTGTGCTATACTTTTACTTCTGTTGTCCATCAGTGATATTCTCTATTTGATCACTTCCTGGTGGGATTTCTTGAAAGCTGCTTTCAACATAGAATTAGAATACTATTCTCTTATCGGTTGTCGGTTTTGGTACTTTTTTTCTTTTGTTTTTGGATACACATCTTCTTGGTGTTTGGCTGCCCTAAATTTAGATCGCTTCTTAAAAGTGCAAATGCCGACAAAATCAAAATCAATTTGTACCCCAAAGAAAGCTCTTTTATTCGTAGTATTAATTTTTATCATGTTATGCGCACTTCATGGTCATTGGTTCTCGCCTGCTATTGGCGAAAAAATTAATGGGACGATCATTCACTGTGGCCCACGTAACCGTGATTATCCAACGTATTACTTCTTCATGACAAAGATACGATCAATTACTGATTTGTTTGTCTATTGCTTTCTACCTGCTGTAGTGATGATTATAGCAAACGTCACAATTATTTACAGCCTACGACAAGCACAGCAAGCAATATCAACCAGAAGATTGGTTATGGAACGGCAGATGATAATGATGATGTCATCTTCGGTTGCAGTATTTCTCTTGACAACACTCCCGTTTTCACTGTATGACATTTTGATGGGACAAGTAATAATAAAGTATGCAAATTACGATCAGTATACACAGTATTATACTTTTATTCATCGAATGCTTGGTCTGCTTAATTCTTCACATTTCGCCCTGAATTTCTATTTTCATTGTCTAACAAGTCGTCTATTTCGCCTGGAATTTATTCGTCGTATCACGTGTGGAAAATGTGATCATCAATGAACTATTACTAAACTATCCTATGAAGCGATATTAGAAGACACATTTTCCCATCGCACAAAACATCTCCTTTTTATTACCTAATTCTTTACCAGAGAAAATTGGGCAAATTAGGTAGTACTATGAAATGCTGAATGACAAAATTGGCATAGGGAAAAAAATGAGTCACAACGAAATTTCAGCGAAATATAATACATTGTTTTTACTAGAAATGCGTTGGAACGCATTTATCCCCATGTCGACTGCATAAAAAAATGGATTTGTGATTTTTCGGGAGTAGGTATGGCGCAATCATAGAATAAAAATAACATATCTAAATTCTTAGGCATCGCTGATCTAGTTAACAACAACAATGAAGTAGCTCTTGAAGGTATGGGTGTGGGTCAGTAGTAATTCCACACACACCCTCAAGTAACAAAAATATCGTAAAATTATGTCCACCACTTTACATTAGTCTTTTTGAATGAATAAATGAAATAGTAAAAATCAGGTGCAGTTAAACTGTACGATGACTACTCAATAGTAATGAAAATATCAGTAGATCTTCATGATCATTCCATTCTCTAACACTGTAGTAGAGCATACTAAAATTTAATTATACGATCAATTACTTTGTAACGATGATAATTTCTCAATGTTCACTAAGAATTCATCAGTAGCCAACTTCAACATTAGTATCACAACTCATCGAAATTATTTGAACCAATAGATGAAATTGATTTTCAATCTTTGATATCTACAGTGAACATGGGTGGCAGGAAACAATGTGGCTAAATAACTCTATATTTCATCAATGCTTCTACTTCAAACACGATCATTAATTTTGATATTATTAAAACAGTTCTAGACTGATTTATTGAGTGTAAATATCAGTCGATCTATGTGCGTCAGTTCCATGCAATATATCCTAAGTCAAATATAAATCTGACGTGAAATCATTGATTATAAGTTAAGTATCTCAGAAAGAAAGGTCTCATGGATTAGTAAAATGATAATTATGAGCTAAACGAGGGACACATGCTAGTAGTAATCTAGTTGTCTACTGAAAAGTACTTTTATCAGTTAGACGTGCTACCTAAATTAGTTTTTCAGCATTATTTATTTGTGAAAAACATATATATGAGAATGTCATCTAATATACAAAATATTCTTGTTATCAATATCCATAAATCATCACCATACGATAACAAGTTTTTAATCAACACTGAAGCAGAATGGTATTTATTTCACAACGCGACGTGCTTGACTCTTGATAGATAAAAACAGGGAGTTCAAAAAAGATTTCTAGTACTAAAAATATAATTAATTCATTGATTTTTTTAAACGTGAAATCTTCTGTAGAAGAGTAAGACATAAGAAAAATAATAAAAAAAGGTAAGTTGTTGCAATTGCTCCTAAATAAATTTCTTGACCATGAGGTGCATGTTTCTTGTACACAATAAAGGATTGTTGTTTTGTAACACATTACTGAAAGGTTAAAGTACAACACGGAAAAAATACTAAATGAATATTCCACTTCCCTTGATGTATTCACAGTAAACAGATTTTTGCTAAAAGTGACTTTTCTCTTTTAGCATCAGCTTATCTCTCTTTTCTGTGCGAGATGTTACGTTAGCCATGTCAACAGTAAATATTGAAACGGATCGTGATGATGATGATGATGATGATGATGATTCATTTTTCTATTATTTGATGCTTATAATGCCGTTGTTGGCTCTTGGCGCTTATATCTACGATGCCTACAGTTTTCTTATTATCAATAGTACAACATCTGGTATACTTTCCTCGATGTTATTTATATTTTATTTTCTACACTATTCCGTTACAATTCAATCTAAGTTAGCTACGACCGTATATCAAGTTCTCATTTGGTTAATGGTGACTACAGGTGATGTCCTGTATGCATATTATAATTTACGAGAAAATCATCGCGTGCACCTGATCAGATACGTAGGATTTATAATAATAGATTTCTTGTTTATCTTCATTGTTTGGATATGCAAAATGATGGCTCTTCATAAAACTCACGAGAACTATGGCTGGTGTTTTAGACAAATATTTCATCCTCGTTTCCATTTCAATCCACATGTTCGATTACATATTAAAGTACACCAACGACAATTTTTTAGTGTTGTTTCACGCTTAGAAACTATTCTAGCAACGTTGATACCAATATTTTTCAGCGAAAACATCGTTCGAACGACATCAACAAATATTAGCTTCGTTATTCTATTTGATTTCTTCTATCAATCATATCATAAGTTACGTTCTATATGGATAAAACTATGCTTATACATGCTTGTTAGTATTGTAACCGCTTCTGTAGCAACTGAATGGCTTTATTATGTAACATTAAAATCATTGTACTTACAAATCAGCGGCATTTTGGAATTCTTTGCTTCTTTATTTTGTTTTTCATTTATTATAATGCAGTTTTTTCCTTTTCATTTTCACGTGAAATATAGACAAACTTAAAGCCAACATAAGTACTGGAAGCTGTCAATGTGCACGTTACTTGAGGGTGTAGGTACGATCTAGAATCGGTATAGTACCTTCACTATCGTCTCTGGCGAGGAAACAATTGCGAATTTTGTTGCCATCTGACACGAAGTCTCTCTTGTTGATCTTCAAGAAAAAAGAGAGTAGGAAATAAGCAACTCTTAAGTTATTTACTATACAGTTTCTTTTACGCATAGAATAGTGGGTTTCGCTGCATCTAGTGTAATGTTCTCGTTTCTATTGAATTAGTTTAATTATTTTTCTTGTCAAGTTGTCTGAACATATGAAGATTTAATGTGAATGAATTCTTCTCATGTAGGGCAAAACTTTTAATTGAAATAGGTACCTAATCGACATGCGGAAGTAGAATACCATCTTCATTGTGTTTTACGGATGATAACAGTGAACATCTACAATTAATATGATCATGCACGGATAATTATAATCGAGACAAAAAGAAAAATAAGAGCCATTCTGTAGAAAAAGAACGTTTATAAAAATCATTATCATTCTAAATAGAACAACTCATTAGATATAAGAATGAATAAAAGTGAAGGTGATACAGGAACTTACCAATAGCGCTACAATATCTTCGCGTAGGCTATGCTCAACCAGGTACGAAGGATTTTTGTTTATTTTGGATTTGGTAGATTTTCTGTCTACAAACAACCAATGTATCATTGATGACATGGACTTCAATCGAGCGGCATATTTTTATATTTCACTCACGTTGGGTTCGAACACAACAACCTGTGTAACCTACATTTCAGTATTTTATTTTGTATGCATTACTACCATCACTTTTAATACCGTTTGCAAATATCAGTTCAGTTCTTCGTACTTTATTTCAAGCAAAGAAAATGAGACGAACGTTAATATGGCGATCAAAGAGGAAAATTAACATTACATTTGATGATTATTTCAATTCTTTAGTTATTATTTTGATTTCCTTTAGCTTTTTAGTCTCAATCACTCGTATTTGTTCTATTTCAACGTTCATCTCTACACAAAACCGTTCTTAAATTTAAATATAATTACTTCGTCCGTTGCTTATTTATGACCATACTCTTTTAGTTGTATTTCTCTGAGTCAAACATAAATATTTACTCCTATTATAAAAAATACGACATAAACCAAAGCTGTATTGAAAAACAAACAAAAAAAAAGAAATCCGTCGAATTATCCACATTCATTACCATTAATATTCGTATTCGTATGATAATCAGATGTTTCTGTTACGTCGAAATATCGCATCTTATTTTGTTCACTCATTTTAACAAATAATGGTTCAGTATTTTTCAGTAATTTAACAACATCAAGATAGGCTCCACCGATTTTAACACCCATATGTGCACAGCACATATTTTCGAAAGGCCAATCACATATTACATGACATAGCCAATCACGAAATAAATAGGGTGCTTCACGTGTTTGCTGTAGACCGAAAGTTTTGATGGCTGGATGAAATGCAATTGCGCCATCTCTACAACCCATTAATCGAAGTAAAAATCCTGGCTTTTCAGTATACATGATTGTATCATCAACATGAAGAGTTTGAGATGCTGAATGATAAACAAAAACACTTATAAAATGATTTGTTGACTCAGGCTGAGGATTAATAAATTCAGCTCCTAAAATAATCAAAACAGCAGCTTATTTCGTTTACCAATAATATTTGTTTCTACGAAAAAAACCTGCTGGAATACGCATTTCAACGTCTGGTTCCCATTGTTTTCTAACACTACTATCGTTCAGATCTCCAGCCCATGGAATTCCGGTTAATCGCCGTAGATGCCTTGGTGTACCGTAATAAGCTGCTTTTGGATAGGCTTGATAAAACGATGGAAACGATAATGTATGAAATGGATGTACACCGATAACAGCTTCAATGTTGTCTCCATTACTTGTTAAATTATCAATTTCTTGCCGAAGACGATCATTCATATTAATTGTATCGATGATAAGAAATTTCCCGTTGCTTAATTGCACTATTGACATTTGTGCTTCGATATCGACCACTTTTAAAACCTTAAAATGACCTCGAACATGCCAAAAACGAGGACCAAGCAAATAGAGTTTATTTTTATTCAGCTTTCGCACTGTATTTGGACTTCGAGCACGCACAGCTAAAGACATGATCTGAAAAAACACAAATACTTGACGAACCAAAAATAATGATCTGCTCCGGCACAACGTTTATGTATCGTGTTGAAAAAAACTACGATACACGAAAGCAAGAACAAATATAAGAGAAAAAAGAGACTGAATATTTTTTTCTCTGGCGAACCTAAATAAGGAACGAAAACGAATCTATGATTTACTCAATATATTTCAAGACATCATTCGAAATCTCAAAGTCAAACTAGAAAAAAAATGTGAAAGTGAATAATATTGAGAAGTATACAGATCGAATGTAACTTGCACTTTATTCTTCGAATATTCGAAAGATATATGTTATTTCTGATCTGATTTCATAAGCTGGAGGTACCCGAGGTCTAGATAGAACATAATATTTGCTAAGTAATTGATTATTCTTGTGTAGAAAGAGCCTACCGGGTGTTTGTCTGATGATAATAAAAAAACTCATGCATTTTCAGTCATACAATGTCTTGTCTCAGCGATTGTTTCCTCTGTTATTTCGTGATAGCCAAGTAAATTCGCATTTACTGAATCTAGTAGTAATTCTTAGTCTTTTTTTTTGTTTATTTTATGGAAAAGTTCATGATTGAAATTTCCTAAGATTCTCATGGCTAAGTAAATCATTTTTTATATCTTTTAGTTTATTCTAAGTTACAACTGTAATGGAAGAATCATAGATGAAAATGTCATTTTATGAACGAGTCACATTTGGAAGAACGAGAAAAATAATCGATTCATGTTCAATATAACTAATAGTACGTAATTCTAGTACAATCAAAGTATCTCTACGGATTTGTCATCTCAATAATCAAGGCTAGAGAGAAAAGAAAAATATCTCATGTGTTCTAATTCTATTTTGGCTTTACACAAGATTAAATGGAAGTCATTTTTTTATCATTCGTATGTTGTGTCAAGTCGTTCAAAGCTACGCATCAATTAAACTATTTTGATCATGGCCAATCTAATAGATCATACTTAAGAAGTGCCATGAAAATATTTTCACGATGGATGTGGAGCAACCTTCGAAGAAAAATCATATCCATATTATCAGAACAAAAGACACAAGACTCTAAATAAAATACATCGATCAGCGTATTTTCCGCCACTTTCATGTATTAAGATGATTGTCTTTAAAAATTTGCAGTTTCGCACAATGTGTTGAAACGTTCGACTTTTCATTAGCTAAAAATGTTTTATACGATGATCGCTATCAATTGTTAAAGCGTTGTGTTACACCCTGAACTAAATCATTTTTTGTTTGTTCTGTGAATCTTATATTTATGCATATATGATTGAGTTTTGAATTGTTGAAATTCTCACTTTAATAATGAAAACGAATTCAAACATTTTCCGGAGATCATTGTTATTTTCTGTAATTTAATCTATTACAAATTTTAATGTGATGAATTCACATCCTTCATCGATTAATACGATATTTTTCGAAAAAAAAATGTTATTCAAGCATTTATTTAAAAGCCATATTTTTGATTGATAGCGACAGACACAGATGTCGAACTCAACAAGTGTTGCATTCTAAATATGAGTGAAAAGTGCAGCAAGGCTTTTGTTAAGAAATTCATTTCTAGAAAACGTGTCTATTTTTATTTTATCTTACAGGTGAAGAACTAGATTTAGAGATAAAATCTTCGGGCTAAGATCGAAGTTGAATAAAAATAAAGAGAGACAAGTTAGTAACAAGTTTAATAAAACTGTCGTCGAGCGAAGTACCAGTTTGAGCATCGGAAATCGAAGAATGTGTGTCATCACCAATGAAATAACAGTAAGAATATAACTTATGCTATTGCTCAATCGGCTAGTGAGAGCAATCATTGAAACCTAAAGATCAGACATTATTTTTCCAATATAATTAAGCAGAGACAAAGAAACAAATTTCATATTTATATTAAAAATAAGCACCAAAATATACAACGTTAGCAGCACCAGCTGATGATGGAGTTATGTTTTGTGCAGTTTGATGTTCATCAGACTAACTCTGTTGATATATTTGGCACCCCTAAAAAAGAAAAGAAATCTAATCAACCTATCTTAATGAGGGTGTGGATACGTGCAGATCTTCGCTTCATTAGCACATAATACTCGCGCCAACACTTTACCTAAAAGGATTTTAGCGATGTCTAGTTATTAACAGTACTGTCGTGTTTTCCCGTATGACTGTCCAGGAAGGGCAAACATCAGAGAAAAGAAAAGAAAATTGTTTCTTGGCTCTTATTCTATTTATTTCAATGTCACTTGTGCTCAGTTGATTGCCTAATCAAGTATCTCATCGGGATATCAATTAAAAATTCTTTAAAAAAATTGAAATAAATGTTGATGGTCCTAAACACGTTTTGTTCAGCTTTGAATAAATTATTGTAAGAAAAATAAGATGTTATGTTAAAAGCCTTTGTAAGTATCTCTATTTATAGTTGTTTAAATATTGTCTATTCAGCTTGATATCCGTGTCTTGTCTTGGATTCAACGGTAGTTGTTTTTCTCTGTCATTTAAGTGAATGCCAAATACTGCATTTAAATTTAAACTTGTTTACAGCTGAGAAACTAGAGTACTTCAGCACAGTTGTTGGCAATGTTTATGGTTATGTTTTTAATTGCGTCTAGTTTTGTATCGACTTCGTTGCATCTAAGAAGTCATTGTTAGCTCGCTTCGTCGAGCTTTACGTTTATTTATCTTTCTTTTAAACACACACACACCCTGTTTCTCGTTTGAAATCCCATTTTTTTTGTAAAGCACATGAGCACAATGCGAAAAAAAGGTAAGTAATACTTTGCGTAGAATTTAATTAACTCGTTCTTTTGTTTTATTTTCAAAAACTTGGCCTTTTTATATTATCGTGTCTTGTTTAAAACATTAGCATCGCATTCGTAATGATCTTTGGAATAAGAACAGAGTATTTTCCGCCATTTTAAGTTGAAGAAGAAAATTTTAAACAATGGATATGAAAAAATATTTATGAACTGCAAATGATAGCTGCTGTAATTTTACGCCTACGGATATAAATAAGTGTTCGATAACATTCAGAAAACTACCAGTGTCATAAGATTTTGTAAGAATTTCCAAAACAAACTAAAAAAACGCACGCTACAATCTTGTCCTGACAATTTGTATCAATTCAGTATTTGATGTTACTTCTTGAAATGTATGCAGGCACAATCGTTGTCCATAGTCCTTCTCTTTTCATCAAATATTTTGAATCGAGAACACAAATCTACAGGATCCGAAGAATCTGAAAAGGGTTTGTGATTGAGGTACGCGCTCCTGTATAATCTTCAATATCGCCCCCTCCCTCTCTACGCACCTGCATCCGATCCTTAATGATGTCTGATATGCCCTGAATGCCTACTCTTTAAGTGCAGTGACACAGCTTATATTTTTTATTAGCTCTTTAAATTGCGCACGTCCTCTTGAGAAATGTATTTTTGTAAAATTAAATTGACTCATTAGGAATTTATCTATTTTGAAGATAGCTTATTGCCTGGAAAGTGTGAAAAATGTCGTCAACGGACAACTACTATATTAATATTCTGAACGATGCTGTTGTGTTTCTGTATCAATACATAGTTCCAATTATTTATATTATTGATAATATGGGAAATCTGTTGAGTGCTTACGTATCTCTACAAAAATCATGGAGAAAAGGTGCTTGTGCATTCTATTTTATTGTTTGTCTCGTCATTAATTTGATCTTTATTGATTCAGCCATATTTGGTTCCATTTTTATTTTTGGCTTCAATGTAAATGTGCATGATTTAAATGTTCTTTTATGTAGCATTTCTTTTTTCAATACGCTTGCCAAATGTTCTTATACTTGCATCAATCGATCGTCTTTTTATTTTATCTCGCGATGTCGATACTCGATTATATAACGCGAGACGTCTAGGTTACTTTTCTGTAAGAATAAGTTCATTTTTATGGTTCATTTTCTGCATTCATTTTCTTGTCAAAGTCAATATTCAACAAATTGGTCCTTCCGTTTACGTTTGTTCTTTTGATTTGTCAAAATCTTACGCTTATTTTTTCACGATATCTACAATTATCATTACTGTTCTTGTGCCACTACTTATGATCATAGTTACCGCGCTTGCCTATACAAATATTCGTCAAAATCAAATTAGTTCTCATCAACGAAGACATGAGACCCGATGGATACGTACAAAAGATATTCAATTGTTAAATTGTCTATTTGTTCAAGATATTATTTATATTACCTGCTGTCTGTTCATATCGATAACTGCATGTTATGAATTGATTACAACAAATCAAGAGAAAACGCCGTTAGTACAAACTATCGAAAACTTTCTAATCATCGTCGTTAAATTTCTTAACTGCATACCTTACTATACTAGTTTCTTCGCATACATGATTTTATCGAGAGCATTCCGTTATGAACTTAAACGATTGCTCTATAAAATATGTGGTAAGCATGAATTGCAAGTAGGACCAGAAAATAATGACGAATTAAACGTTGCTAGTGTGACTAATTTACCAGCCTGAAAGGCTAAGGTCTACTAACATGAAACTAAAATGAAAATGACTGTGCTGATTAACGCGAAATAATTTTTTACAATGAATACATAATATTAAATTTTATTGTATATCTGTAATTCTATCTGTAAAATGATTCCGTAGAATGAAAGAATGACGTTTGCCAAGCGAAAATTAAAAACAGAATGTTGGCGTGACTCATCTAACCTATACTTGTCGGGCTGATGGTGTCGGTGTGAGCGCAAATGTGTATACGGCTGTCGATATGAATTTTAGTCTTCTTCCTATATTTACACACACACAGACTTTATGGCGATGTCGTTGCTCTTGTGATTCATTTATTAGTTATCTACTGTGCACGTTAATGAAAACGTGCGTTTTATAGTGACATCTACCTATATAAAAGTTTCATTGTTTGAAGCATTTATCTTACACTTCTTTCACAACTTTGGGCAATAAAGAAAAACATAGCATGATGAAGATAAGCAATACTTGA